CAAGATAAGCCCCTCTCAGACTCCTGACAGAAAATCTGTGAGATAATATATGCTTGGTGTTAAAAATTTTTAAAAAGATGTAAACACTATCCTCTTTAACATATATTGAAGTAGCCTTAGGAATTGTACCTACAAAGACAGTAGCTTATTAGTTTAAGTTGGCAACTTTCGCTTCTTAAAAGGCTGCGGTGCTCTGTTGCTTTCAAAACCCAACAGAGAAAAAAGAAAATACAGCTGGTTACTCTGAACATTCATTTCTGGATCAATGGGAGTTAATTTCTATATAAGATATAGAACAAGGAGTTTCTCAATGCATCTTTCTCCTACCTCCATCTAAATTAGAGATTCTGTTAGAATAATGTTTTGTGTTTTACTGCATAAGTGTTTGAATGGTACCATATGCAATAATCCCTTAACTTTTCCAAAGTATTTTTCTCACAAGAGGAAATATACTAAACTCAGAGTTCCAAGTAAATGTAAGCATATTATCTATATAAATGTAGCGATTCCACAATCATACAACACAAATGTGGCATCCTTTGAAATCACTGTATTAGTTCTTATATGTTTGTCTTCTGAATCTGCTCAAAGACAGCACCAGAATTGACGCCTCAGCAGGCTGGCTCCTGTCTTTTCTAAGTTCTGAGTCCTCTGCAGTGCCCAGCACAGCAAAGGGCGTTGTAGACATTGAGCATCCTGGTATTAGTTTAACTGGTGGTGGTGGGAATCACAAAAGTTACCTTTTTTTTTTTTTCCAATTTAAAATTTTCAAAAGTTGTACAGAAACCTTCTCAAAATGGACTTCCACAGCTGCTATCATTTCTTTGCATATTTTTATAAGCTGTAAAAACAACAATTAATTTTGCTACAATCAGGCTGAATTTTTGCACTCTGTTAAATTTTAACCTGCCAGTTGTAACGATTCTTCATGGCTCTCTAGGGTTACACTGGTAGTCAATGTTTAATTACTTCACATTAAATTTTTTTTAAAAGTATGATTATTTGAAAATAGTATTTTCTGTTATTACATAGTGATAATGCAGAGCCCAGTAATAATTTAAGATTCTGTGTAAGACGTTGCATAACAACAAAACCCCAGAATTATCCTTCATTTACATTATTATTTATGTTACAGTTAGTACAATTACAAATATATATATTAAATAAGTACTTGATATATAATTATAATGCCATACATTCTTACTTTTCCTCAAGATCCTGATCACCAGCTAGCACTATTAAAGCTTTTTTATCCTTCTTAATCTTTTTCATTACCACTGTTCCCTAAGAGTTATCTTCATTTTGTGCAATAACTGGCCAGCAAAGACATCGAATCCTCATTACCTTCATCTAACTTCATAAATTTTTTTTTTTTAAAAGGAGGGGCATTTGTTTTATGAAGATAAATACAAATGAAGTTGTTTGTTGTTTTTACAGTAAGTACTCCATACCTTCTGTCTCCTTGATGGGTGTTAGATATAATCCAAGACCAAGAATAAAAAAACCTTGCCCTGACCAGCTGGCATGGCTCAAGGGTTGAGCTTGACCTATGAACCAGGAGGTTATGGTTCGATTCCTGGTCATGGCACATGCAGGGTTTAATGCTCAGTCCCCAATGTAGAGCATTCAGGAGGCAGACAATCAATGATTTTCTGTCACCATTGATGTTTTTATCTCTCTCCTCCCTTCCTCGCTAAAATCAATAAAAAAATATATTAAAAAAACAAAACCAAAACATTGCACCCTGGCTGGTATTGCTCAGTGGTTAGAGTGCTGGCCTACATACTATAGAGTCTTGGGTTTGATTCCCGGTTAAGGGCACCTACTTGGGTTGCAGGTTCAATCCCTGGCCCAGATCAGGCTTATACAAGAAGCAACCCTGATGTTTCTCCCTCCACCCCTCTCTTCCACTCTCTCTCTAAAAGTCAAAAGAAAAATATCCTCAGGTGAGGATTAAAAAAACAAACAAAAGGATTAAAAAACCCAATTACAATAAGCAGTTGCTAACAGCCACTCTAAAGAAGTTTGACTGTGACACTGACAAAACTAGAAAACAAATCAAATATTACTTTTTCATTATTAACATTTTGTGACACTTAAATCTTCCATAAAACACATATCCAAAGAGATGCCCAAGACTTCAGCCTGAGAATCATATGACACTTGCTTAGTGTTAATTAAAAAAATAAAACCCAAAACTGAGAAATTGCTCACCCTGGTGGTTCAGAAAAGTAGTAGATAATGAATCAACTATTTGCTCCTATATATTGAACTTGCAAATAATCACTGTCTTGAATTTGTAACAGATACCTTTTTATTACTGTTTAAACAGTGTTTTGAGAAAAGTGTTTCTCTCAATGCACTTCATATGTGTCTCTAGTCCTTCCATTTGTTTACTCATCCCAAACAAGGAAAGTGTTATCTTTTTCTTAAGGTTTTCTGCTACAGCGTTAAAGTACCATGTTAAAGTCTTTAGTATTGGATACTATTGAGTATCCAATACTAAAATTTAGTGATCTAACAAAAGAAAGCAATATGCCCCATTTTCTTTAAAGAGAAAAAAATTCTCTCATGAACTTATCCTATTGATATAAGGATCACTCATTTAGGGAGTAATGTACTACAGCTCTTAAAAGTAAAATAAAGCCCTAGCCAGTTTTCTCAGTGGTTAGAGCATCAGCCCGAGGACTGAAGGGTCTGGGGTTCAATTTCGGTCAAGGGCACATACCTCAGCTCTAAGGCTCAATCCCTATCCTGGTCCGGGTGTGTGTGTGTGTGTGTGTGTGTGTGTGTGTGTGTGTGTGTGAGGCAACCAATCATTTCTCTCTCCCATTGGGATTTCTTTCTTTTTGTCCCCCCCCCTCCTTTCCACACAATATCCTCAGTGAGGACTAACAACAGCAGCAATAAAAGTACAATAAAACACTGACTGGTACACTCCTCTTTCTTTTGAAAGTAAGTTCATTTTGGGGTGGGTGAAAGAATAACATCATGTTTCTAAAAATAAGGTAGACCCTCCTTTAAGGCAAAAATGCTAGGAAAATTGGGCCCTACCCAGTGTGGCTCAGTTGGTTGGAGCGCTATCCCTTAATCTTAAAGGTGGGTGGGTTCAATTCCCGGTCAGGACACATACCCAGGTTTCAGGCTTGATCCCCTGGGGATGGATGTGGGAGGCAACAGATTGATGTTTCTCTCTCTAAATATCAATTAAAAAAATAATAACCCTAAGAAGATTGCTTTGATGCGCCTTGACTTTCCTCTGGTGAGGAACGACCACCTTTTTTGGTTCAAAATATGGGAGAGACCACATTGAGAGATACTTCTTTACAGATGTATAGTCATAAAAGTACACGGACTCTCTCTGAATTCCCCTTTGGACAGGCTCACCCGAAGAGGCTAGCTAATTCAAAGCCCGCTCTGAAATGCTCAAGGACACCATTCCCACCCTGCACCCACTCACCTACAGTAGATAAGAGCACCAGTACCAAAGTCAAGGGCCTCTGGCTCACTCAGCCTTACCTTAAGTAAATGTCCTATCAGCTCAGTGCTTTCACTTTGTCTTTCAGAATGACAGAAGTATTTCTCGCTTATCTACTCTTTCAGGATAGCAGAATTTTTTTTTTTTTAAATCACATAAAATCTTTCACGCTTCTTAGAAATGGCTGCTATAAAACTCAAGGTTCTATACATTATCATCATTACTTTGTATTGTTTTTTTCTGCTACTTCTTAATTAGGCCATAACACTTGCTTTAAAACACAAATCTTGTGGCCTCCCATCTGTACAGTTTTTGATGTAACTCTGTCCTAAAAACCAGTCCCTTAGATTCCAAAAGATTTAGTCTACTGATCAGTGATCTGAAAATTCAGTCGCTCTCTCCCAATCAAAGACACGGGTATAAATCACACCGCTCTAGCTTCCTGCAGACATGACATTAGAGTAAGACTATCCCTTTTTACTTGAGGAATACTCTATATAAAATGTGCAATAAATCTGCGTGGATTATGCTCTCTTCCTTCGCAAAACACAAACCTGGGTGGTTGGTAACCTAGAAAAATATCTGAAGGCTTCTGATCATGGACTGGTGTCCATAACTGTCATAAAAATACCAGATCTAAGGCACAGACTGGGGGAAAAAAAACAAAAAACTTTTCGGAGTTTGCAAGAAATAAGCCTGAACTCCTCCAGGTCTGGTCCGGACTGTCCTTTCCTAGGGCCTGTCTGTGGAGAGGGGCCTGGGCCCACAACATGCATGCCTCTGGCAGCTCCTGAACCGAATCAAGACCCTCCACAGCAGCCTCTGCACCCGACAGAGCGCCTCTCAAGACTGACACACCCCCCTCCACCCTGCGTTTCTCGGGAGGTGTGGGCACTCAGCTCCCTCCCTGTGGAGACAGGGGCGCCGGGGGGAGGGCGGGCCTGCCCGGAGCACCCATGTTGGAGGACCGGGGAGCTGGGCCTGGTAGCTGTGTGATCAGGAGCGTGGGAGTGGAGGGCGCATCCGTGGGAGGGAGGCCGGAAGGGGGTCTCTCGTATTGGGGGGCAGGAGGAGGAGGGCGGCGGGAAGACCCGGCAGAGCGAGGCTCTCTTTTTGTGATCGGTTTCGGGCCGGCGGGTGTGATGGGGAAGTCCCCGCAGGGCAGAGGCGGCAGGGGGTCTCCCTCCGTCCCGCGTCCCGGGGGCGCCGCCGCGGACCCGCGGGAGGCCTCCCCCGGCGGGAAGACAGGGACTGCGGAGCGCGATCGGCTGTTCACGCCAGGGCGGCCGATCCCCGCACCCGCAACTCCGAGCCCGAGGCGTGGGACCGGGTAGGAGGGGATGGAGGAGGCCCCCCGGCCCGGAGGCGGGAAAGGCCCGGAGCTCGGCCGGGCGGCGGCGGCTCGGGGATCCGGACGGCGACGGCGCGGGCCCGGGGAGCCACCGGCCAGGCGGGCCGCGGGGGCCGCGTGCGCCCTCTCTCCACGCTGCGCGGCCGCCCCCTCCCCCGCCGCTCCTCTCACCTGCACATGATCCGCCATTTTGCTCCATTCATGCTCCTCTCCGGCCCCCTCCCCCCCAGCGCGCACCTCGGCCCGGCCGCCGCCGCCGCTGCCGCTGCCGCCGTCGCCGCTGCGCCTGCGCGCTGGGGCCCGTCGCTACGCCGGTTGCGTAGCGCGGCCGGGCTGCGCAGGCCCCGGCGGCCGGCCGGGGGTTGGAGAATGCGCAGCGCCGCCGGGACGCCGTAGAGGCGGGGGCAACGTCAGCGGCCAGAGCCGTCGGGGGCGGGGGTTGGGGGGGGGGGCGGTGCGGGCCGGGCGCGCGGAGGGAGGGGGCCGGGAACAAAGCTTTGTTTACATGGGTTTAAAGGGGCCGCGCGCTCGGGCCGGCGGCGGGCGCTGGAGCGGGAGCTGGCGCTGCCTGAGCTGGGTGAGCGTCCTTGGGGAGGCCGGGACCTGTCCCCGCCCGGACCCCCGCACCTGGCGGACTCCTCTCTGGCAGAGCTTCCTCTTGTCTTGTCCCCGGATGCCCCTGCTCCCCCCTCCCCCCCGCCTGTGACACTGCATCCCCGAGGGGGTCTGCCCTGGCCCCAGCCTGTGACACTGCGTCCCCGAGGGGGGATCTGCCTAGGTCCCCGCCTGTGACACTGCATCCCCGAGGGGGTCTGGCTTGGCCCCAGCCTGTGACACTGCGTCCCCGAGGGAGGATCTGCCTAGGTCCCCGCCTGTGACACTGCATCCCCGAGGGGGTCTGCCCTGGCCCCCGCCTGTGACACTGCATCCCCGAGGGGGGATCTGCCCTGGTCCCCGCCTGTGACACTGCGTCCCCGAGGGGGTCTGCCCTGGTCCTTGCCTGTGACACTGCATCCCCGAGGGGGGATCTGCCTAGGTCCCCGCCTGTGACACTGCATCTCCGAGGGGGTCTGCCCTGGCCCCCGCCTGTGACACTGCATTCCCGAGGGGCTCTGCCTCTGCGCCCCCCGCGCATGACCCCACGTCAGATGCCTGCGTTCTTCCCGACTTTCCAAGCCCGCGGCCGAGTTTATGTTTGCGTCTTCCCAGCTTTCTGCTCCAGTCGACAAGGACCCTTCCTCTCTAACCGTGGGTTTTACCAGCAACCCAAAGAGTGATCTTGTTTTCATTTCTATTCCTTCTCTCTTCCATAAACATTCACGGAAATAGCCGCCAAATCGTGGCGATGATAGAAACCTGCAGAAGGCACAGTCCCAATCTTCTCAAGTAGATTGTTATCTTAATCAATACTCCAGGCTGCCTGCCTCCTGAGGAGGGTCAGACGCTGGGGAAGTGGGGTTGGAGGGAGATCAAGGGGTTTTTAGGACCTCTGGGCTCAGTCAGAGTGGGAGAGCCATCCTGCTGGGTCAGATCAGGTCAGTCCCTGCCTGCCGAGGCCAATTCCAATCTTTCCCACTAGGAATTATCCGGTTAGATAATGCCGGCTCCTGCTTCCCATTGGATGCCACTCTGGCTTCCAATCAAGGGCCCCAGGTTAGATTTTAGCTGCATCCCGAGAGTGTTGGTTGTTTGGGGAGTTGGTACTGACTGGGGGCTACCACGTGCGATGGAAACGATGATGGTAGTGAAAATCACTTTCTGTTTTGTATAGAGTTGGATTGGTTGGTGCTAAGCGCTCTTTTCAGTCTTCGTCCTCCTCCTAGTATCGTCTTCCTGGTTTGCCGGGGGTGGGGCTGGAAGTGGGGCTAAAAACTACATTACCCAGACTTCCTTGCCGCTATGGTTCTATATGCAAGATAGACTCTAGACTCTGCCAATTAGATTCACTCAGATAAGGTTAAGCCTGCAGAGCTTTTTTTTTTTTTTTTTTTTTTTACTGTTGCCCCATGAGATGTAGTTTTCCAGTCACTTTACAGTGTTGGAAACTCCCTGAATGCAGAGAGGAGGTGGTGGGACAGATGCTTCCAGACCTTGGCATCACAGCTGTCTTGGTATGTTCTTGGAGTCACAGTTTCAATAGGAGTCTCCCAATGCTCCACCTGCCTGACTGGGTAGAACTAACAGCTCCCTGTGGGCCCCCTGTGGGCCAGACCCAAATCCATCTCCCACCACACCCTTCCTGCACGGTGGTTTTTCTTATCTTCCTCATCTCCATACATGGTACCACCATCCACCCAGTTGCTCAAACTAAAAACCCAGGAGTTACCTTGATGGCTGGTGTCTCAACAGTCCCCACACTTGGAAGTCCTGTTGAGTCTTCATCTAATACATACTCACATCTGGCTTCTTCTCTCATCTCGCAGCTCTCACCTTATCTAGGCCCCCATCACATTTCTCCTGGGCTCTGGGAAGAGATTCCTAATTAGTTTCTCTGCTTCCTATCTTGATCTCTGGATAAGCCACTATGGAAAGTGGCTTATCCAGAGATCAAGATAGGAAGCAGAGAAACTAATTAGGAATCTCTTTCCATAGTGGCTTATCGCTTCAGGACATTCTTTTAAAATCATAAAATAAGACCATTTACTCTCCTGCTTAAAAAACCCTTAAGTGGTCTCTCAGTGCATTTAGAATGTATTCCAAATCTTGGCTGCAGGCCATGATGCCATGTGATCTGACCTCATCTCCACTGTGCCACCTCTTGTTTGCAATGCTCTGGCTGGTCATTCAGGCCTTCTTAAGATATCTCTCACACAGGTGTTCCTGCTTCAGGGTCTTTGCACTTGAAGTAACTTCTGCCTGAAATATTTTTTTCTCAGATCTTTAAGTGGCTGCTGCTCTCATACCATTGACTTTTTTTTTTTTGCAAGATAAAAAATAACCAAATTTAATACATACATATGTATTCAAACCCCACATACATGGGAGAGTCAGAGACCCCACATACAGGAGAGTTCCAGGGATAGATACGGAACATGGGGCCCTGGCCAGTGTGCTCACTGGTTAGATCATCAACCCATGCACCGAAAGGCTGCAGGTTCCCTGTCAAGGGCACATACCTGGGTTGCAGATTCAATCCCCGGTCAGGATGCAGCCAGGGCACATAGTGGAGGCAACCAATTCTGGGGTACAAGTAATAGCTTCCTGTGGGCCAGAAACATCTCTTTCACACCGATATTTCTCTTTCTCCCTCTTTCTCTCTTTCTCTCCTTCCCTCCCATCCACTCTCTCTAAAAATCAGTGGGGAAAAAATATGCTCAGAGAGACTTTTCTCATCACTCTATTGAAAGTTGCCCTCTGACCCCATCTCCATCATACTTATAACATTGTTACTGTCTGTCCAAGGCTATTTACTTACATATTTACACTTTTCATCGTCAGGGTCTCGATTAAAAAGTAACCACAATGAAAACAAAGATTCTATCTGTCCTGTTTATGTTGTGTCCCTAGTACCTCTGTACAGAGTAGATGCTTAGTAACTAAATTTTGAGTTAATTAATTTCTTTATAGCTCCGTCTTATTCTAGGGGATTTGGAGCTCAATGGAGAACATAAAGAATTTGAAGTGTTATGTCAATATGAAGGAGTATAATTATGTTGTAAGCCCTTCCTCTCAGAGTTTCTAGCACTGTTCTCTCTCTCTTTCTCTTTCTCTCCCTCTCCTCTCTCCACTCTCTCTCAATTGGGTTCTATTTTTACTTAGTAGTGAGAGCCACTTCCAAGCCATCTTTGAAAGCTATTTTGATAAAGCACACCACATGATATATTTAATGGAAAAAGAGCGAGGGCTATAACAATGAAACTCAAGACTTGAATTGTCTACCCCTCTTCCCCCCAATCAGGAACCAATGGGGCAAGGAGGTGAGGGGTGTCTCTTCCTAGACTATAAAGCAAAAAGAGAAGCTAGGGGCACCCTGCACCTCACCTGTGCCTCTGGATAAACACCGGGACCCTTTATAGTGGTTGCTCTTTTTGTCACTGGTACCTGGATTCACATATGGCCGGGCAGAAGGTATTGGGGTTAGTGCTCCGATGCAGGATCCATCCTGCCAAAGACACTGGGAAGTGCCTTGAGGGGGGTCGCTCTTAGGACACTCCTGCTGGCCTATCTTCTGCAGACAACAGCCACAGGAAGCGAATTTCTCCAGCTGCCACCGTCAAGGGAGGGCATGGGGGTGTCTGGAATACCTAGAGCCTCCCAGCTTAAACAGCTTTCCAGTTGTCTGGTGCGCTCGGGTGCCCCCCTGTGGTTCCAAGTGGAAAGTGTCCGGTTTACCTTGGGGGAAGGCATCAATCAGGGTGTGTGTGTGTGTGTGTGTGTGTGTGTGTGTGTGTGTGTGTGAAATCTATTGTCTTGCTACTCACAGTGAGGTCTGGCCCACGCAGCAGCAGCAACAGCAGCAGCAGCAGCAGCAGCAGCAGCAGCAGCAGCAGCAGCAGCAGCAGCAGCAGGATCTCAGCTCTCACTCCACGCCTGTATCAGAATATGGACTTTAAATAAGATCTGCACATACGTTTGAAAGGCACTGCTCTGCCAGCCTCTGGGATGGCCCTGAAAGCCCTTCTCACTCTGTACGAGATGCTGATGTTGGCCACTGACCACAAAGCTCTCAGGGAATATCTCTCCTTAGGGACCGAGAGAACGTCCCCGGGACCTTTCCCCACACCAGCATCCTTGGTTCTCCTCTGGTCTCTGGGTCAACCTGTTGGAGCCCAGGCAGCAGGCCCGAGTGCCAGCAGCTTTATGCAACTCAGTCCTCTCCTCCAAGAGCTCACAACAGCCATCTTTTAAAGCTGTTTCATTTATTTATTTTTAATTCTTACCTGAGGACATTTTCCCATTGATTTTTAGAGAGAGTGGAAAGGAGAGGGAGAGACAGAGAGAGAACTGTGGATGTGAGAGAGACACGTCGATTAGTTGCTTCCTGCATGAGCCCTGAACTGGGACTGGAATTCGAACCTGCAACCAAGGTATGTGCCCTTTAAGGGAATTGAACCTGGGACCCTTCAGTCCATGGGCTGACGCTCTATTCACCGGCTAGGGCTAACACTGTTTTGATAAAGCACACCGGGTGTGAGCAGAAAGCCTGGGGTGTGTCCTGCTCTGCTCTCCTTCCCAAGGCAATTGAACTGCAGGTGGTAGAGGAAACGGCCCAGTTACATAGCCCCCATTATGGGGTTACCCCAAGAATGCTGGTCTAATTCTCCCATTTCACCCAACATTTCTGCATCATGCCTCCATCAGATTGCTTCTTAAAGCCTTCTGGCTCTGAGTTTAACATTCTCTGGGAAGCTTAGATTTCCCTAAAGGATGTATCTACCTTCTTGCATGGAGTGTGATGCCACTTAGGGGACAGCAGTTTAAGGACCGTTGAATGAAAGATCAGAAGCCCCAGAACTTCCTCCCCTGCCCCCGCAGCCCCGTGACCTCAGGAGGAGAGTTGCAAGCAGGCGCGTACCTACTTGCCCTTCCTTCTTCCAAAGCTGGGCAGTGTGGCCGGTAACAGTGTGTGTCTCTGGGAATTTTGGCAACTGTGAAGTAAAAAATTTTTTTTTAATGTAAGAGATTGTATTGCGACTTTAAATGATAGTCTCGAGATGAAACTCGGGTGTCTTTATAATGCTCACAGAGTCTGGAGAGATGGTAACGCCAGCAGTTTAGAGGTGCCCCAGGAGCGAGGTGTGTTTGGGGACGTGCATGTGTCTGGAACCTCAGGGAGGCGGTGTCAGTGTGTGTTGTCCTTGGGGCAGGAAGGAGTGCTCCCGTGGAGAGGAAGAGCCGTGTGTGAAAGTGATGAGCTGTCATGTGCCTGGTGGGCTAGTGGTGTGTGTGGCTTTGGCTCTTAGGGAGCTGAGAGGCTTGGGTTCTGGTTTAGTGGCCTTGAACATGTTCCCTAGACCTTCCTGAACATGTCTCCTTATATTTATTCATTCATTTATTTATTTATTTGTTTGTTTTTTAAAAATATATTTTTATTGATTTCAGGGAGGGAGAGGGAGAGGGAGAGGGAGAGGGAGAGGGAGAGGGAGAGGGAGAGGGAGAGGGAGAGGGAGAGGGAGAGGGAGAGGGAGAGGGAGAGGGAGAGGGAGAGGGAGAGGGAGAGGGAGAGAGAGAGAGAGAAGGGGGAGGGAGAGAGGGAGAGAAATATCAATGTGTTGTAGTGTACCCCCATCTTACAAAGGACGCCTCTAGAAGTCAAATTGTGGAGTCATTTATTAAAGGCCGGCAGCATATGAGGGGCTAAATCTCGCAGCCCCAAAACCGCTTGCCACATCTGGCTTATATCGGCAGAATATCATAAAGGAATCGATTATATCTTTGGGTCCGGAATGAGGAGCCTGTTTGGCAAAGAGCATTTTTACAGAATTGAAATTGAGCAAGTTAGTTATCTAAAGTATCTACGAATCACTGAACCGACAGAAACACATTATCTGGGACCACCGGGGCAATTTAGGATAATTGTGCTGTCCAGATTCTGGGACCACTGAGTCAATAAGAATGCACTATCTGTAGCTATTGAGGCAATTTAGGGTGATTTGTGAACTGGTGAATATAATAGAATCAGAGGCATAAAATGGGAGGGGATTGATAATTCTCAGGGGGAGAGGAGTGTCTGAGTGGGGGCTGGACAAAAATCATACACCTATGGATGAGGACAGCGGGGTGGGAAGGTAAGGTCAGAGGTGAGGTGGGGACCGGGAGGAGGGAAGCTATAGGAGGAAAAAAAGGAGAAACAATTGTAATAATCTGAACAATAAAGATTTATTAAATTTTTTAAAAAAAGGATAATTTGTGCTCTTCTGATTCCGGGACCACTGAGTCAACTGAAACTCAATTATCTGTCCTGGGTCCCAGAAGGATGTGCTTCGATGACCAGTGAGATCACAATCAATGGGATATTCAAACCATCATCAGTGGAGTATTGGGCAGCATACATAAGTTTAGAAAATCAAAATAACTTTTAAATGAGTACAGAACCCAAAACAGCAAGATTAAAATATTACCCACGCACGGTTGCTACCATACTTCATATGATGAGAGAGAACCGTTGATTGGCTGCCTCCTGCACACCCCCTGCTGCGGATCCAGCCCGAGACCCCAGTTGAACCCTGGACTCTTCAGTCGGTGGGGCTGATGCTCTATCCACTGAGCCAACCCGGCCAGGGCTCTCATTTTTAAACTAGGAGTTGGGCTGGTTGATTTCTAGGTTCTCTTGCAGCCTGTCCGTGCAGACCAGCAGTCTAAGTGTGAGCCTTTGCTGCTGGCTTTACTGTCAGAGTTGGTTCTTGGGTCTCTTTGTCCCCGGGGGTCAGCCACTCACTCTCCCTTGGTGACTTCCCACTCCAGCTTTGGGACCCGAGTTGTGGCTCCCCAGAGAGTTGGAGTGGGCTGCGTGGAAATTATCTCTCACTGACTGAAAATGCAGGAAGCTTGAGCTTGAAACGCACTCGTCAAAAAGAAAAAAACACACACAGAGCAAGAAACCACAGGGCTTATCAGCCTGTCGTCATCAGGCAGACTAGAATAGTGCAGAGAACTCTAGGCAGAGAGGAAATGAACTTGAGAGAAGGGGGAACACACAGGGCAGAGAGGAGAGAAAGAGGGCGGGAGGGGAAGGCGCGGGCTGCAGGGCAGGGCCCGCCATGGTGGGAGGATGGAAGACGCCGTGGTGAAGCAGGGCTTCCTGTACCTTCAGCAGCAGCAGACCTTTGGAAAGGTAGGAGGAGGCGGTGGGCTGGGCTGGGCAGAGAGGCTGGGGGCTGCCAGAAGTTCCTGGGGAGGAGAGGGGTGCGCCCAATGTCCCCAAACCCTTTCAGGCCTGTACCATCACCACGTTAGACCCAGAGCTTGGCTTGGGAGGGCTCCTTCCTCAGCAGCTGCTCGCCTCCCCAAGCCAGGCCCCAAACGGTGCTCTTTGCTGATGCTGTTCCCGGGGGGAGGGGAGGGTAAGGAAGGCTCTAGCTCCCTCTCTTGCTCTGGTGGCTTCTCGCGGGGACACCTTGGGAGGGAATGGAAGAAACGGCAGAGGGGGCATTCAGGAGTGCAATGGTGGCTCCTTCCTTCCCTGCCCCACGGGGTAGGTTTGGCTGGTGCTAGGCTTGAGCAGAGCCCCAGGGTGTCCAACCTCCTTCTCCTTCTTTGGCCTCCTTAAATGCGGAAGTCCTCTTCCCTCAGCTGATCCACACAGGGCACCCTTCTCCTCTCCTCTCCTCTCCTCTCCTCTCCTCTCCTCTCCTCTCCTCTCCTCTCCTCTCCTCTCCTCTCCTCTCCTCTCCTCTCCTCTCCTCTCCTCTCCTCTCCTCTCCTCTCCTCTCCTCTCCTCTCCTCTCCTCTCCTCTCCTCTCCTCTCTCTTCCCTCCTGACCTCTCCTCTTCCCTCCTAACCTCTCCTCTCCTCTCCTCTCCTCTCCTCTCCTCTCCTCTCCTCTCCTCTCCTCTCCTCTCCTCTCCTCTCCTCTCCTCTCCTCTCCTCTCCTCTCCCCTCCTCTCTTCTCCCCTCCTGCCCTCTCCTTTCTTCTCCCCTCCTGTTCCCTCCCCTCCCCTCCTCTCCCTTTCTGTCCATCATGTCAAGAGATGAGGTGAGGAGATTCCGGAGGGTCACCTGAAGTTCCTGGAGAGAGACCTTCTTCTACAGAGTGAGATGCTGGTCTGCAGCCTGGGCCCGGGCATCAGTGACTCAAGCTTTCCCTCCTCCATGTGGATCTCCTGGGCTTGCCTGCCTGGCTGCCTCGAAGTCCACCTTCATGTGCTTTTTCTGCCTCCGGCTCTCTCTGCTGTCATCTGGGCGTCTTCTTGGCTGCTTGCGGTGGCTCTAAGTTCCAATGCTTCTCGATTCCTCCGGCCGCTTGCCTCCTGGGTCTCCTGGGATCCTTACCTCTCGCCCCAAGTTGCTGCCCCAGCCCCTTCCCATGGACCCTCCTCCACTCCCTTCGGTCACCATCTCTCCATCTCCTCTGGGCACCTCCCTGCCACGCACCCGGGTCAGAAATGGCGCAGGTTCGGGGCCATGCTGTACGGCCAGTCGGGCTGCGCCCTGGCCCGGCTGGAGCTGCAGGAGGGCCCGGAGAAGCCGCGCCGGGGAGAGGCCGCCCGCAGGGTGATCCGCCTCAGCGACTGCCTGCGGGTGACGGAGGCGGGCGGGGAGGCCAGCAGCCCCCGGGACACCAGCGCCTTCTTCCTGGAGACCCGGGAGCGCCTGTACCTGCTGGCGGCCCCCACGGCCGAGCGTGGCCCCTGGATGCAGGCCATCTGCCTGCTGGCCTTCCCGGTGAGCTGCCCAGGGGTGCAGGAGAGGCCCGGGGTGTGCGGGAGGTGTGAGAGCCAGGGCCAGGGTGTTGGAGGGCAGGTCCTTGGTGGGGCGACCCCCATCCAGAACGCAGACAGGGCAGCAGGCTGAGTGTGCCCTGAAAGGAAGCCGGGGCTGGAGGTCGGGCTTGGGCCGGGGCTTGGTGACATGCTGAGGCCGGCCTGTCCCCAGGGCCAGCGGAAGGAGCTGCCGGGGCCGGAGGGCCAGGGCGGCGGGCCCCGCATGGAGGAGAATGAGCTGTACAGCAGCACGACCACAGGTGAGGGGCTGCTGCTCGCTCGCCCAGGGCGGGGCGGGGCGGGAGGAGGTATGGCCAGCAGGCGCGTCTTGTCTTCCTGCTTGTGGTTGTCCCCAGCGTGGCCAGTCCCCTATCAGCCTCTCCGCATCGCTTCCTGGCCTGGCCAAGGTGGGGAGCCTGGCTGCCTGGACTGCCAGACCTTCCCCCGCCCCCCACCCCGTCCACTCCCTCCCACCCAGGCCCTGCTGGTGGAGAGGGCAGGGCTGGGGGGACCACGGAAGGTGCTGCTGCTCTCGAACCCTCTGTGGTTAGGAGCTGGGCAGCTTCTGGAGGATAAAAGAGGCTTTCTCTCTGGCTGGAAGGGGTCCTGTGGGAGGTTTCTGCTGACCAGGCCCCCCTCCCGCCTCTTGCCATCGGTCTGGTCCTCTGGGCGGGTGGGTGGGTGTGGGCAGGAGGGGCAGGATACGGGGCATCCAGCCTCCACCTCGCAGAGGGCACGGTGGGCGGCATGGGCAGTAGGTGAGGGGGCTGAGAGGGGGAGGGCAGGGCCAGGTGCACCTGCAGCTGAGGCAGTAGGGATTGGGGGGGGGCGGCGGGGGAGAAGAGACAGAAAAGATGAGGCTGTGGCTCTGGCAACAGGTCGGAAGGATGTGGGCAGGAGGTTGGGGTGCCTGTGGCTGGGGCACGGTGCCTGTTGGGGTCGGGGGGCGGTACGTGGCATTTGGGGGAGTGTGACCTGGCGAGGAGCAGGTCATGGGAAGGGAACGCCACTCCTGTATGATCGCTGGCCGCCCCCTGAGAGGGTCCCCCTTAACAGCCTTCTCTTCCCTCCTCCCCAGGGGCCCCCTGCAAGGAGTTTGCTGTGACCGTGAGGCCCACGGAGGCCAGCGAGAGGTGCCGGCTCCGGGGGACCTACACCCTCCGGATAGGAAAGGGGGCCCTGGAGCTGTGGGGGGGCCCTGAGCCGCGGGCCCTTGTGTACGACTGGCCCTACCGGTTCCTGCGGCGCTTTGGGCGCGACAAGGTGAAGGGGGGGCTCGGTGGAGGGGGGATGGGGGAGGGGTGGGCCTGCAGCAGGTGTGGAGGGGGAGGGGAGTGTGGGGGAGGTTGTCAGGGAGCAGAAAGGGCCCTGTGAGGACGCGTGGGAGGAGGAAGGAAAGGGGAGAAAGGCCCGAAGGAGATGGGAAGGACCAGAGGAGGCGGAGGGAAGCAGAAGAGGCAGAGATGGGAGCCGGGGAGAGAGAAGGTGGAGGTGGCGGAGCTGGGAAGGAGGCTGGGAGAGGGAGCAGTCGGAGGGGCAGGCGTTACTGAGGGTGAAGGCTGTGCCCAGCTCCACACTTGGATGGAGGAAGGAGGATGCAGGGAGAGAAGGAGAAACATGGAGGAAGGGAGCAGGAGGCTTGGCTGGTCCCCGTGGGGCAGGCTGGACCTGATGGGTTTGAGTCTCAGAGCTCGGAGCTCGGTCCAGGGGAAGCAGCCCTGACCCGTGGCCTCGCCCAGCGGTCGGCAAACCGTGGCTCTCGAGCCACATGCGGCTCTTTGGCCCCTTGAGGGTGGCTCTTCCACAAAAAACCACCTGCGGGCGCGCACGTCCAGTGCGATTGGAACTTCGTGGCCCGTGCGCAGACGTCGGTTTTCGACTCTCAAAAGAAATTTCAACCGTTGTGCTGTCGATATTTGGCTCCGTGGACTAATGAGTTTGCCGACCACTGGCCTAGCCAATTGACCCCCCTCCCCGCTCTCCCCTCTCCCCCAGGTAACCTTTTCCTTCGAGGCTGGGCGGCGCTGCGTCTCTGGAGAGGGCAACTTTGAGTTCGAATCCCGGCAGGGCAATGAGATTTTTTTGGCCCTGGAAGAGGCCATCACTGCCCAGAAGAACGTGCCCCCCGCTGGGCCACCAACCCAGCCAGCCCCAGCCCCAGCCCCAGCCCCAGCCCCGGCCCCGGCCCCGGCCACAGGCCTCGCAGCGCTGCCCCGGCCCGAGAGCCCGTACTCCCGGCCCCACGACTCCCTGCCGCCACCTTCACCCAGCACCCCTGGGCCCACCCCCCGGCCCCGCCCGGAGGGGGAGTACGCAGTGCCCTTCGATGCGGTGGCCCGGAACCTGGGGAAGACCCTGCGGGGCATCCTGGTGGTTCCGCCCCCGCCCCGCGGGGACCCTCTGTACGACAGCATCGAGGAGCACCGGCCCCCGCGGCCGTCGCCGTCACGATCCGACCACATATACGATGAGCCCGAGGGGGTGGCCGTCCTGTCCCTGTATGACAGCCCGCAGGAGCCCCGGGGCGAGGCCTGGAGGAGGCAGGCCACAGCCGACGGAGCCCTCGGTGGCGGCCCCCAGCACGGCTACCCCGGGGGGCAGGACTTCCCTGCTTCTGGCCTGCCGCTGGAGACCGAGTATGACAACGTCATTCTGAAGAAAGGCCCCAAGTGACGGTGGGCAGAGAGTCTGGAGCCCACGGAACGCCAGCTCCGAGGCGGGCCGACCGGGGAAGGGGGTGGAGGCTGGAGAGAAGGAGTGGGAGGGGGAAGGCAGGCCTCCCTTCCAGCTGCTGCTGCTGCTCACTCCTCCTGCCCACCTCGTCCCAGGAGCCTCCCGAGGACTCATCTCTCCCGGGGTCTGCTGGGACTGCTGGGACTGCTGGGTCTGCTGCATGAGTCATGATCCCGAAGCAGGAAGAATGCCCTGAAGAGACCCACCCTCCTCCTACCCCTTCCCACTTCCCCTTGTTCTTCCCTGGATCTAAGGGGACCAACCTCAGGCATTTAGGACAGAAGACAAAAGCATGTCAGCAAGTCCCTCCATTCCTGGGTTGGCACAGGCCTCCGGGCTCAAAGGGGGCGCTGCAGGCATTGGACTTCTCTGTGGCATTAAACATTTCCAAGGTGTTTTTGTGTGGCGCGTGCTGTGGGCCGGGGACCAGACAGCCACAGCCTGGGGTGGGGGATGGGGGGATGTGAGGGCAGGGAGGAGGGGAAGGAGCCCTACTATTGGTGATTCACATCCCTCTCCCAGCTGCGGTGTCCTCTCTGGTCCCCAGCATCTGAGTCGGGATCTGCAGAAGTCAGGCCACCCCGGGGAAGATGTCCAAGCATCCCTAACCCCTTGCTGGTGTGGGGCCAACATCAGGAAAAGTGGGGAGTGGGTGTCTGTGTGAAGAGCTAGGCTGGGGGACAGGAACGGGTAGGCAGATTTGAGCGTCTCCTGGATGAGTCTTGCTCTCTTTGTACCAGGAGAAGGTTCTACCACCCACATGAGCTTCCTTCACAGGAAGTGTCATTCACCACAGGCCTGTGTCCCACTCGCCCACACATTGGGGCCCGGGTACTCTTTTCACCAAAACCTGCTTTCCTGGCAGTTCTGCTGCCGGCCAACCGGCCAGCAAGCAGCACGGAGCACCGTTTGTAGGCTCCAGACTGCCCTGGTCTTGAGGGGCTGACGGGCCAGAGGGGGTGGCGACAAGGACACAGGTGTCTGTTATGAGAGGAGGGCTTACGGACCGGTGGGTGACTCCGGGCCTTGGGTCAGAGGAGAAACCTCTGGGCTCACTGGAGGACCAAGAAAGGCTTCCTGTGGAAGGTGGCATTTGAGGTGGACCTTCCAGGCGGGAGGGACTTGATGAAGATTAAGGGCGTGAAGAAGAGAGCATCCTGGGTAGAAAAGCCGGCACGAGTGAAGGTCGGGGAAGGTGCGGACAGACTCAGCAAAGCGCTCAACATTCCTGTGGAGGGAGCAGGCAGCCCTCTGGCTGGGAAGGGGGACCCGGCCACGTGGTGGAGGAATTTGTACGTGATTCGAGGGAGGGAGGGAGAAATGACAAGGCTTCTGAGTCGAGTCCCCTACGAGCTGCACGCGGGAGCAAAACCCCCGTGGAAATGGACGGGGCACAGGGTGGGCCGGGCTGAGCTGTAAGGGGAACTCAGAAGAGACTGTGGATTCAAACGACGTTGCAGAGACCCGGCCTGGAGGTCCGGGAGTCTGTCGGATGCTGAACACGCAGAAATAGGGTGTCTAGAGAGATTCCGGTTTTGGAAAGAAGGAGAGCTTGGTTTCTGACATGTTTCGGTTAAGCTGGCTCTACTCTACCCACCATGAGGCGTGCTCGGAGCAGGTGGAAAGGGGCTCTCAGGTGGGAGGGAGAGGAGCTAGAAACCTAAGAATTGCCCGCAGCCTCCCAGGTGTGCTGGGATGTAAGCTGTCTCTCTCCATGCCTTTGCTGGCATGAGAGCGGGCTGGACACGGGAAGGCCCTGTGCAAAAGGGCTGTTCCTCCTGCCACCGCCTGGGCCTACCCCCAGGATACACTGCCCCTTGGGGTTTCAGTCGCCCCCCATTCCAGGCCAGGGGTGGCCAGGGCGGGTGTGGGGGCGGGTGTGGGGGGGGGTCTCTGAGGCAAAGGTGCCTCGTTTCTTACTGGTCAGTAGCACTTGAGGTGGACGTTCCAGCTCATCCCAGCAGGGGGCAGTGTTAGCCTGTGGAAAAGGCTGCTGGGGTCCTATCTGCTGTTATGTCTTCTGGCTGGACCCTGAAGGAGGGAACTTAAAATAAAGGTGTTTTTTATTTTTTATTTTTTTATGACCTTAGAGAATGGAGGAGGACTGCCCTGGTCTTGAGAGGCTTACGGGCCAGAGGGTCCTCAGAATCCTACTTGGAGGCCTGTGGGCTCTGCCTCCCAGAAGTGTGAGACCCTAAGCTGAAACTTGCCTTTCTCCTCTCTCCTCCACCCCAAGATCCCAGGGCGTTCTGAATTTTTTGTTCGGAGGCTGGCTTTGCCCGAAAGGGGAAGTGGTAGACGGGCGGGCGCTGCAGGGAAAGGTGGGCGAGGGCAGCGGGGACCGGAAGTGGAGCGTTTGGGGAACTTGGGAAGGGGAATGAGCCTGGAGACAGTTCGTCAAAGACGCTGAGCACACTGCCAGGGGCCCTCTCCGAAGCATGACCGCGTGGGTGGGTCATCCTGCAGAAAATTGTGTCAGCACCAGCCCAGCCACCCTTAACCGCACCATCGCTTGTGACATGCACATCATTTCTCAGTTCACTCCTCCTAGGAGCCCCACCCAGAGCTTAGGAGCCTGGCGCTGGGGGTAGGGGTTGAGTGGGGGTGGGTAGGGGTAGGGAAGACCTGGCCCCACCTCGTGGAGCCCACATGCAGAGCTGGTCTGCAGAGCTGGTTGCTGGCTGGATTCTTAAAGGAGCGAGCCTTCGGGATCCATCTCCTCAAACAAGCCCAGAGGAAAAGCCCTCCTTGGCTGTCGAGGGGCAAATTCATAAGTAAGGAGACAGTTGGTTTCAAAGGAAATGGGACAAAGTAAGACCAAGGACTGAGACAGGGTCTCAGTTCCAGAATCTGTCTGCTACCCGGCTGCTGTCGATACTAGGAGAAGCATTGCTGTGGCCAGGATACCATTTTTATTTGCTGATTATGATGCAGAGGTTGCATCAGGGCAGGTAAGACTTGCCCGGTGACTGAGCCCATGTTAGAACTATGTGCCCAGGTTCATGTAACTGCAGTTGTGCACACGTGAGCTTACGTTACCATTTTTCTGTTTTTTTTTTCTTCTTCTTTGGCCTCCTCTTGTATTTTCTTTTACCAGAGCATGGGAATGGTGTGTGTGTGTGTTGGCCTGTGGTCCACCCCTAAGCCTGCTCCTAGGCCAGGCCCTCCGGGAGTTCCCACCTTGAAGCTTCAGGGTAGACCCGGGCCCAGATTGCCTGGGCCTCTCTGCTCCCTCAGACTCCTCCCTGATGGCTGCACTCAAGCTGTTGCTGCCACCACCTTTCAGCTGTGATGCTAACCAGCCGCCTGCCTCCTGCCTCGTGGGCGCTGATTCAATTAGCCAAGGTGCCCACCTCCTGCGTGGCCATTTATAAAATCAACGGGGGCAGCTGGAGAGCTCAGGGAGGGCGGGGCTGGGAAGCGGGGGGGGGGGGGGGTGGCGAGCTGGGGACGGGGGGGGGGGGTGTAGAAGAAAGAGGGCCTGGTGGGGAACCTGATTCGATTAGCTATCAGGCTGGCTTCCCTGAGCAGGTGGCTGTACATCACTGCCCTGCTCCAACCCTCAGCTCCTGGGCCAGACACGGGCCAGCTCAGAGCGGGTCCATCCATCTCCAGGCTCCTGCTTGCTTCCCTCCCACTCTGCAGCCCTAGGTTCCTGGGCCAGAGGTGGCTGGTGTGTTGGGAGAAGGAGTGGAGAGGGAAGCAGGGGTTTCGGGATTTGTGGGGGAGCTGCAGTCCCGGGGTTGGGTTAAGTAGTTCTGGGACCTGCGCCCCAGGGCAGGGTCAGCCTTGGGCGTTCAGGAATCTGACCAGAGAGGGCTGACTGGGGGGTGGACTGAAGGAAGGCTTGGGGCAACAGCGTTTGGGAAAACATTGTCCTTGAGTTTGTACAGCATTTTTTTTTTCCAGTCCAGACTGCTCAGGGGATCTCACTACCTGTGTCCAAGCTCTGGCCCTGCTGCTCCTTAGCTGTGTCTCCACGCGTCTGTTCCCACATCTGTAAGGGGGAGATTATGGTATGCTTTTCAGAGGCTTGCTGTGAAGGCAGTGAGTGAATACAAGCCCATCGCCTAGAGCGGTGCCTGGCCACAGAGCTGCAGCATTGTTGCTGAAACCTCTTTGGCTCAGTGGATAGTGCATCGGCCTGCAGACTGAAAGGTCCCAGGTTCGATTCTGGTCAAGGGCATGTACCTTGGTTGTGGGCACATCCCCAGTGGGAGGGTGTGCAAGAGGCAACTGATTGATGATTCTCTCTTATTGATGTTTCTAACTCTCGAGTCCTCTCTCTTCCTCTCTGTAAAAAAATCAATATATATATATATATATATATATATATATATTTTTTTTTTTTTTTTTTTAAATAAAAGAGCTGCAACATTGCCCATCATCTCCTCTCCCCTCCCTTCCCTTCCACTCCCCTCCTCTCTCCTCCTCTCTCTTCTCCTTCCCTCCCTGTGGCCCCACAAGGCCTGCGGGGCAAGATGTCCTTGTTTTACAACAAGGAATGGAGACGTGGACAGAGTGAAGTTGTGGGGTGCAGGAGGGGTGTGTGTGTGTGTGTGTGTCGGGTGCGGGGGGACTTATGCTTTGTGGGAGTGGGGAGGACTTGGGGAGGAGAGGTAGGATTTTGATGGGAAGAAAGAAAAGTGGGAAAGCATTCCAGGGGGGGGGCGAGAGGAGTAACATCAAAGGCCAGGATGGGTGGCTCCTGGCCGGGGCCTCTGCACACCTGGGCAGAGTGGGCTCGTCCCCCCCGTATTGTGCTCAGAAACGGGAGAGCTTGGGAGGAAAGCCTCTTTCCAGACTGGAAGGCCTTTGGCTGGAAGCAGGCTGAAGAACCAAAGCCACAGGGCAGAGTTTCCCTTTCATCTGAGCTGCTGCCTCCGCTCATGGCCTGCAGCTGGCACTCCAGGGCACAGGGCAGGCTCCTTGCTGGGCAG